TATATAGTTTACGGCAATGTGTACTCATTGCATCTACGTCAAAGTGTACGTTTTTCCTACTCCACGTACACGTCTTGTACCTACAATATGAAGTATATGCATTGTACCTACACCAAAGTGTACGCTTTGCGTATAGGGTTTCAACCCAAGCCAAAGTATACGCAGTGTACTTACGCCAAAGCATATGCATTGTACCTACGCCAAAGTATGCTTTTGTTGGGTTTTTAAAACACGTATTGTACCTACGTGTGAGTGTACGCATTGTACCTATACCAAGGAATACTTTTTGTACCGACGCTAAGAAAAATAGTGCCTACGCCTAAATAAACGTTTTGTACCTACGCCAAAGTATACGTTTTATAGTAACGTAACAGTATACGCATTGTATCTACGCCAACGTGTACGTTTTTATACCGACGCCAAAGAGTAAGCATTGTACGTACGCTAAAGTATCTATTCGTATCCACGCCAAAGTGTGCGTGTTGTGCTTATAAGCACACGCTCAATGTTTATGTACGTGCTGTCCAGTTGAAGAGCCGTCGACGGGTACGTGTACGTTTCATGTATGATACACTCAACGCAGTATACGCTTAACGTAACGTCTATCTATTACGAATCCCGAGGCGTTGGGCAATAGTCTGACAGCACCTTTTCTCGACGCACGCATGGCCTGAGTCTACGGACACTCCTCGTGGATAGGCTATCACCCTGTGCGTGTGTGCGTGCAGGCTTGCGCTATTGAATCCGTTAACATGCGGAGAGAGATATGCCTGACGTGTTGTGCCGGTGTACGTACACACTTAGAGCTGCACGCGAAGACTCTTAAATGCGTGTCCTGGTTCAAGATCCGTTTATGAATAATCTCCGAAGCCTTCGGGGCTAGGCTGGTGGCACTCTTTCTCCAGCACTCACTACTTACGTCTACGCACACTTCTCGGATATATATATATATATATATATATATATATATATAACATACACACACACACACACACACACACACACTATATATATATTATTATATATATAATAATAACACATATAGATATATCACATAATATATAATACTAATATATATATATATTACACGACATACGTCTTAAGTTTACTAACTGCACATGTATGTACACACATGGTACATGTCTGCGCATACGTGGGGAGTATAGTAATACATCGAGTGTGCTTTCAGTTCAAGCTTTATTGACTGATTTACCGGCGGGTTCTTGGCGTAGTTCAACTGTACCCTCCCCCACTAATTACTTCATAATTAACGTCTACGTACACATTTTTGCACATGTGTATCTAAGCTTGTACCCGTACGTACGTTTATCGCATCTACATAGCCACTTGACCACGTGTGCACCCGTTGAGTGCACACTATCCCTTCCATACTAATACACCCAGTGTAGTGTCTAGTTCATGCTTGGTCGATGGGTATCCCTGCTGCTTCAACACTATCCCATCCCTACCAATACACCCAGTGCACTAATACACCCAGTACAGTGTCTAGTTCATGCTTGGTCGATGGGTATCCCTGCTGCGTCATGCAGCAGTCCACCCGTGCCCTCGTCTCCTATCAGCAGCTGAGCCACATACAGCCACTCACCCACTTGCACGCGTGAGCTCATCTCCAGAGACTTCTTCTCCTTCTCTCGGTCCTTGTAGTACGCGTGCCAGAAAGTGACCAACTGAAAGCGGGCGTGTGTGTGTTTGTGAGAGTGTGTGAGAGAGAATGTATGAGACTGTTGGGTGTGCATAGAAGTGGATATGATCCTGTATGAAAGAAGTAGTAGTTCATAACTGGATGTACAAATTATTATAAGGTGCATAGAAGTGTATATGATATCCTGTATGAAAGAAGTAGTAGGTTATAAGTGGGTGTACAAATAAACATAAATAATAAACATAACATATATCTAGGCCACGAATCACCACTCCCTACTACCAACTTCATATCATACACACCACCTACGAAAAGAACTTTAATCAACCAGTACTCGAGATCCAATCTCCTATCTCATCACATCAGACGTATCTCTACAAACGTACACAGCGCAGCAATCGATGAGTACACACCTCTATCAACCGTTGAATAAACGATCCCTTGGCGTTGTAGTTGTTGCGGTCGTGCTTCACCAAGCCCTGTATAACCATAGCAACCGATCGTCAGCATAACATGTCAGAACGCACAGACCACATACGAGTCGGAAAGATCGGGCGTGTTTGTGTTGTCATAGCAACCGATCGTCAACACGAATGCCAGAACGGACACACATATGAGTACAATTCAACCGTGTATATTGTACGAAGGTATAGAACTATATTTTGATACACACATAATATATAAGCACTCCATCAGTACCATTTAGTTCAGTCAGCTATGTTGCGGGTAGTTAAAACGTGACCCATACGCAAACCAAACACACGTCTACGTGAGATACGGGTACAATTGAGCTGTAGGCGTTAGGAGTACGGATTTGGTGAAGTCTCGTCAAACCAAAAACATCGGACTGAGACGTACGGTGCACCCCAGTGCTAAGTGTAAAACGTATGGGGGATGAATGGTTTACGTTCCATGTGAAATATACTCACTTACGGTATACTCCAGTGCTAAGTGTAAATGGTATGGGGGATAAACGGTTTACGTTCCATGTGAAATATACTCACTTACGGTGCACTCCAGTGCTTAGTGTAAATGGTATGGGGGATAAACGGTTTACGTTCCTGGTTTCTGGTTCCTGGGCTATGTTTCTTGATGTAAAATATTCTCACACATGGGATATCGACCGTACATAAGGAATGGTATGAGCGTTAACGACTATTTAAATGAGGCACGGGTGGCAACTTGCCCCAAACGGAAGATTAATAAACCCTAATTTCTACAAGGATAAACCCTAAACTCAACAAAGATAAACTCTAAACCCTGCAAGGATAAACACTTAAACCTACAAAGATGAACCCTAAACCCTACAAGGATAGACCCCCAAACCTACAAAGATGAACCCTAAACCCTACAAGAATAGACCCCCAAACCTACAAAGATGAACCCTAAACCCTACAAGAATAGACCCCCAAACCTACAAAGGTGAACCCTAAACCTACAAAGATGAACCCTAAACCCTACAAGGATAGACCCCCAAACCGACCCTAAAACCTAAAATCTTAAATTCTACAAAGATAACCGCTAAACCTTCTAAAACTTATACTACCAAATTCATATAAAAAACATTGCAAGGCGTATTCGAATCCAACATACTTGTATAAGTCGCATCAGACGCCCACGACGCACTTCGAGTATGAAGATGATCATGGAGGTGTTTACACAGCAAATGTTATCCTGTGGAGTAATGAATTAAAATAAGTAAATATGAGATTGAGAAGTAGTTTAAGACTAAGTATACATGAGATAGAGAAGTAGCTTAAGACTAAGTATATATGAGATAGAGAAGTAGCCGAAGTTTAAGTATGTACGAGATAGACAAGTTGCTTAAGAAGTGTTAACGCCCGTGTCTCAGTTCCAGTTGAGGATAGATGGCCATTGGAGGCGTTTACACAATGGCTGATATTGTATAGAGAGACAGCAGTGAAGTAGCATGATGAACGTATACGGTTTGGGGATTAGCTTAAACGGAGAGAGCGCATGTTTGTTTATAGGTCGAATTGTCGGAACACATATATGGAGATAGTTTAGGAAATGTATGTATGTTGGCTACACATGATTAACGAGATATATATACGTTGGCTACAAATAATTAACGAGATATATATACGTTGGCTACACATAATTAATGAGATATATAAACGTTGGCTACACATAATCAACGAGATATATATAAGTTGGTTACACATGATTTATGAGATATGTACGTTGGCTACACATGATCAACAAGATATATATACGCTGGCTACACATAATTAACGATATATATTTACGTTGGTTCTGTATGCTGAGCTCTCACCGCAAAGGCCATGAACTGCAGACAACCAAAGCGTAGACATACTCAGGTAAACACAAACATGCAAGCACGTACAAACAAATACATGAAATAAACATATATGATTTATGAGGTTATTGCACCTTACGTTAACAGTAGTAACCATCATGTGCAGAACACTCAGAGGTTGACATCCGTATATAGATACATAGTTCCAAAACATTCGTGTATATATGAATATATCTTTACTTTCGTTATAGAGGCTGAGAACAGCGCCGAGATAATCATATAAAGAACACTCAATAT